CCCAGGAACCCTTATTATTATATTATCATTATTTTGCTGTATCTTACACTATCCAATGTGTCTGTTCACCTGAAATTCTGTTATTCCTTTCCTTAGAGTGGGGTAATACAGTCATCACTGCTATCAGCTCCCCTTCCTCCCCACCCTCCATCCCTCTCTTCCCATATCCTCAGGGAATCATTACTCCCATTACTGTTTCTGAAAGGTTATCTACCTTGGTTTTCATGCATAGAAAGATCTTAGTTATACAAATGAATATACGAAGGTCTAACAGGATTAATGAGTTAAAACACAAACTACAATAGTAAGGGGAGAAAACATTCAAGAACTAGCGAGTTATGTTTCATCAGTGTTATACTGCCCCCTAGATGGTATCATCCCTTCCGTGTGGCCCTTCGGGAAGGGACTGTCCAATCTTACAGGTGGGTTTGGGGTCTCCACTTTGTCCATGCTCCTTTCACATCAATGTGACTGCTTGTTTTTGAACTTCTGATACTTATTCCTGTCGACACCTCATGATCACACAGGCTGGTGCGCTTTCTTCCGTGTGAGCTTTGTTGCTTCCGAGCTAGATGGCTGCTTGTTCACCTTCAAGCCTTTAAGACCCCAGGTGCTATATCTTTTGATAGCCGGGCACCATCAGCTTTCTTCACCACATTTTCTTATGCACCTGCTTTGTCTTCAGCGGTTGGGTCAATAAGGTGAGCATCATACAGTGTTGCATTATTGGAGCCAACTGTTCTTGTTCGTTGAGTTACTTTTCATACAACACAGAATGGTTTGATAAGGTCTTTAGGTATTATTTACTGCAAATATATCTGTGAAGGTGGTGAAACCACTGGGAACAAAGTTAGGAAAACTTCTAGGACATAACCACACATCTTAGTTCCCCAGGGGCACTGAGGTCAACTGGCATAACATAATTCCCAAAGACAATGTTCCACATCCAACTTTGAGTCTGAAAAGCTCCTGAGCAGTCCCTCAGACCATTGACGGGGATGTGAAGAGTCCTGCTGGCAGACAGAGTGCATTAACGTGGGTATAGTTAGGTCGACCATGAGGTCAGACATGAGCACAATTGTGAGGATAGTACAGGACCATGTTTCGTTCTGGTTCTGTGGTACGCAGGATTGCGCTGGGTCAGTGGTATCTAACAGCAACAGCAACATAGTTAGGTTACATTTCAACATCTTATCGTTTGTTTTTGCTTTTGATCCATTTTTAATTTGTTCTAGTTGTAATTATTTTCTGCTTTCTTTTGGATTGAGATTTTCTTGTGTTTATTTTGTTGCTGGGGGGAGGGACTGGTTTCTGTTTGTTTGCTTGTTTGTTTGAATATATGAAATCCAAGTCAGGTAAATCTATAGACAGTAACTCTAGTTTCTTAGGGTTGTGGCAGGGAGGGTTGATGGAGAGTCGAGATCTAATGAGTACAAAAAGGGAATGTTCTAAAATTGATTGTGGTGATGATTGTGCAGGAGCCCCGGTGGTGTAGTGGTTACGCACTGGGCTGCAATCCTCATGGTCAGCAGTTCAAAACCACCACCAGCTCCTCTGGAGAAAGATGGGGCTTTCTCCTCCTGTAAACAGTTACGATCTCAGAAACCCATCGCTATGAGCCAGCTTTGACTTGATGGCAGTGAGTCTGGTTCAGAGTGTGGAGGTGATTGTATAACTCTCTTAAATATATTCAAACCATTGACGTGTATAAGTACATGAATTAGATGTCAATAAAACTCCTGGGGGAGGGGCGATGAAAACGCTCACGAGTGGCCGTTGGAGGTGAGACCGTGGGTCTCTCCCTGGCTAAGGGTAAGAAGACCCGTGGAAGCGATGAGCCCAGTGGACTCACGGACATCAGTCTCCACAACCCCGAGACCAGAAGAATCAGCTGCCACGACCAACTGCTCTGAAAAGGATCGCAGTAGAAGATCCTGGCCCTGGTGAGGGCAGAATGTGGACCACAACCCCGATCACAAAAGAGACCAGGCTTAGCTGTCAGGGACAGGCCCTTGGTCGCCCTTCAAGTCTGGAACTCAGCTCTCCCCCCTGTCAGAATAATCAACCCTTGAAGATCAAAAGGACAGAGTTCCGAGGGCTCGGGAAGAAGGAAGAACGGAAACAGGAAGTGCTGGGAGGAAGTGGGATAAGCAGCCTGCATGGAAGGCATTGCGGTGGTGGGTGGAAACCCACCGGGTCTGAGTTGTCGCCTGTGCAGCTGATGGTCAGCTCTGCCAACCTCCACGGGATTCACAACCCCTGAGCCTCTGAGCCTCGGGGACTAGGCCTCAGGAGTCTCACCCATTGTCTCAGTCATTGTAGGAGGATGAGGTCCTGGGCCCCCCTCCCACCTATCAGGTACCATGTGCTACTCTTCCTTAGGTCCCTCTTGAATATGAAAGCTGTTGGCGTTACTTCTGAATAGAGACCAGAAAGAATCCTCAGGAGAATGCTTGGAGCTGATAACAGGAGAAAGCGTCTGGTTTTACCAGCAGGCAGGCAATGAAATGCTCTTTTATGTGGGAGCAGGAAGCAAGCAGATAGTCCGTTTCAATAGCTCTTTGTGCCCATCAGGCTCGCTGGATTGAATTCTTTCCTGCCCTGGTGGGTTAGGTGCCCTAGAGTGCGCACTGACTCATAGCCACCACGAACAAAACCCTGCCCACCCAGGCCTGCGCCGCCTGCACAGCAGCTGCCATCGTATGGTCTCTCCTGATCACGTGCTCAGGCTACACACATGAGATGCAGGCTCACTGGCCACTGGGATAGTCACCATACTTTTGCAAAGAACAAGATTCAAAGGCATCGGTTCTTCATTTGTCCCCCTTAGTCATTGTCCAGCTGCCGCATTTATACCAGGTGCTTGAAAATACCATGGCTTGGGGTCAAGCGGTCCTCAGTGCTCAAAGTAACATCTTTAAAGTTGTCTTGGGCAGAAGATTTGGCCCATGCAAACAGCCATTTCATTTCTTGACAGCTGCTTCCATGAACCTTAATTGGGGTTCTACACAAGATGAAATTCCTTGACAGCGTCAACCTTTTCCTGTTATTATAATGCTTGTGTACTGGGTCATCTGCGAGGAATTTTATTTTCGTGGCATTCAGTTGTAATCCACGGCGAAGACGGTGGTCTTTGACCTTCATCAGCAAGCCCCTCAAGCCCCCCTCGCTTTCAGCAAGCAAGGTTGTACCTCAACCTGTTCAGGAGCTTTCCTGTAATCCTAATGCCATATTATTCTTCGTATAATCCAGCGTCTCTGATTAGTTGCTCAGCATCCTGATTGAATAAGCATGGTGAAAGGCTACAACCCTGAGGCACACTTTTCCTGGTTCTGAACCTTGTACATTCCCCTTGTTCTGTTCCCAAGACGGCCTCTTGGTCCGTGTCCAGGTGCCACCCAGCACAATGGGATTCCAATTCTTCTCAAGGTTATCGAGTTTGTTCTGACCCACACAGTCCAATGCCTTTGGCTAGTCAATAAAACACATGGACACATCTTCCTGGTGGTCTCTGCTTTCAGCCAAGATCCATTTGACATCAGCAAGGATGCGCTAAGTCCTTTTCTGAATCTGGCCTGGATTTCTGGCAGCTCCGCTTCCATGGGCTGTGCTAAGGCTGAGTCTTCCAATGATTTTCAGCAAAATTCTACTTGCATGTGGTATGAATGATATTGTTTGATCATTTCTATCATCATAACCTATAAAGCCTCTCTCGTTTGTGAGGTAGCTCAAAGAGTGCTGTAACTCTCTCTCTCTGCCACTGGTTCCGTCTCTTTTTGGGGGGGAAAGTTTGAACTCTCCTCTCTAAGTTAGCAGGTAATCACTGGCATAAACCTGGGACAACTTGTAGCAATTTGAGATATTGGTGATCTCTTGTGAGGAGGTTAAGAAGCCTACCAAAGAAGCAGTCAAAGAAAGGAAGAAAAGGAAAAAAATTTTAAAGTGCCCAAAACGATGAAAATTGCAATTTTGCAAAAGCAGAATTCTGTGGAGAATCACACTTACTTTAGAAACGTTTGGGGTAAATCTATGTTAGATTGGATCATGCCCTTTAAACTTAAATAATCCTAAACCAAACTCACTACCACTGAATTAACTCTGATTCACAGCAACCCGGTGAGCACAGTAAGATTGTCCCCTGTAGGTTTCTGAGACTGTAAATCTTTACAGATGCAGAAAGCCTTCATCTTTCACTTTCAGAGAGGATAGTGGGTTTGAATTGCTGACCTACTGGTCAGCAACCTAACGTCCCAATCCCCAACACCACCCTGAAAGATCAGTAGATCCACTCACCAGACACCACAGGGGCAAGATGTAGCTATCTGCTTCTTAGAGATGTACAGCCTTCCAATCACACGGGCAGTTCCACGCAATCCTACAGGGTCATGAGGAGTCAGCATTGACTCCATGGTGATGGAATGTTAGAATATCATGATCGTTAAGGTATTCTGCTCACTGAAAGGGCGGTTGCTTAACCCCACCAGCGGTTCTGCAGGAGACGGAAGTGGCATTCTGCTTCTGGGGAGATAGCTGTTCTGCTCTGTCCTGTAGGGTTGCTGTGAGTCAGAATGGACTTGAAAAGCAAGGAAATGGTTATTGCTGGCTTGCTCACCTTAGATAACGCTCACAGCTGACCACCTGCTCTGGCGTCAACAATGCCCTCCCTGCCCTGTAAAGAGTTACAGCCGGGGCAGTTCTTCTCTGTCCCGATCAGGTGGCTGTGCCTCAGCCTGGACTCCATGGCAGTGAGCCTGGTTTTCTGGAAGGTGCACTGTGCCCACGGGAAACTGAGGAGTATTCCCCAGCCAATCAGATGCTGGGTGCTTAGGCAGCCTGGGAGGACTGCTCATCTTCTGTGTTTTGTCTCAGCACAACACCGCCCAGGGGCTGGAGGATGACCTGACAGCTTCTCCTTGGGAGAGGGGTGGGAGGGACCAAAAAAAAAAAAAAAAGAGAGAGTAAAATACCCCCAAACTACACCTCTCGCCATCAAATCCATGATGACCAATAGTGAGTGACTCTACAGGAACTGCCCCCTGGGATTTCCCGACTGTAACTTTTCATGCCAGTAGACAGTCTCATCTTCCTCCCACCGAGAGCGAGCTTGCTAGTGGTTGCGAACTGCTGGCCTTGCAGGTCAGCGGCAACCCCAGGCATAACCCTTGATGCCACCAGGGCTCTTTAGAGAGCCTAGAGCACAGAGTGGAAAAGGCTCCGTTCCACATCTGTCAACCTTTCCAGGAGCCGACAGCCTAGTCTTTCTTCCTCCGACAGGGGCTGCAGGCGGTGGAGGTTGGGCTGCGGGTGAGGGTTGAACGCCCACCCAGGGGTTCACAGCCTAGCGCTTCATTCACCGCGCCACTAGGTCTCCTAGGCTGTGCCACCAGGAGTCAGGTGGCAGCGACTGGTTCAGCACTGGTTCCCAGAGGTCCTGGCCAACCCTCCTGTGGGGGACTTGGGGGTTGTAGGCCGAGAATAGAAGACTGGGAGGAGAAAACTTTAAGAAGGATAGAAATAAAAGGGGACTGTGGTGGCTAGCGGTGGCTCTCCCCGCTATCCCGCCGCTGAACCAGGACCGCTGTGGTCCAGGCGCTGGGAGATTCGGATGGGCTTTCTCTGCGGATTGGTCTCCAGGGCGCGCGGAGGGTGGCCAGAGCCACTGCCGCCTAGGCCCGTGGTAACCTCAGGTGGCCCAACTGGCCCCAGATGCGGACAGAGTCCAGGAAGACTCGCTTAGCAGTCACTAGGGTCATTTTTAAAAATCAGGACCGCCCTGGTAGGTGCCACTAAGCCGCCTTTTGGAGGCTGTCCTGTTTACAGGAGCAGGGCTGCGCTGCTGTGCAGAGGACAGCGTGGAATTCGTGTGGTTGCCAGGGACCCAGCGCCTGAGTGCTCGGGAGCTGGACCGAGAGTCCGATGCGCTCCTCCGCAGTACCCCGCGAGAAGACTTCTCAGCCTGAATGTAATTTTCGGGATTAAAGTTCAAGGGTCAGCCCTTGTGCACATTGCAGTTGGTGTCTCGGCTGGGGTCCGTAAGAAGGCATCAGCCCTTATTTTGCATCCAGGAAGCCCGGGGAGGAGGAAATGACTTGGGTGGTGGCATCTAGCCGGCCGAAAAAGATACAGACGCGCCGCCCCTAGGGAGCCCTAGTCCCCTCAGGTCGCCTCCTGGCTCCCCCGGCCAAGTGCCTGGTGCGGAGCGAGTGTCTCGGGCTGGGTCTTAGCGGGCCGGGAGCTGGAGGGGCCGGGAGGTCGGCAGCGCCCGGAGCCGGAAGGGCGGTGAGCGCTCCTGGCGCCCCGGACACCGGTGCGCAGAGGTCCCCTGGAGTGACTTGTGGGGCGCCGCTCGGCCTTTCCTCCCTCCCCGCTCCGGGCAGCCCCCGAGCTGAGTAAGCCGGGCGGAGGGAGCCCTGAAGGATTTCCTGCGACGATGGCGAAGAGGGGGGCCTTGTGCTCTGCCGGTCACCCCGCCCCGGGCCCCCGCCCCTCAGCGGAGCCGTCGGGAAGCGGCGGGGGAGGAAGACAAGGGTAGGTGGGAGGCGGATGAGGGGTGGGGGACACCTTGACGTCACGGGAGGAGGTGCCAGGAGGAAG